TTCAGGGGAGAAGCATGTGGTAGTGTGTTAATTGATATGGAAATTTGTAATTGTGGAAGGAGACCACACACATGCACACATTCAGGGGCTGAATAGCAGGGCCGAGACGCTCGGCGGGAGGTCTGCTCATTTTTGTTGAGGATGGCTAATGTCTGAAGTTCTCACGCTGCCCATTACGCTCGGTGGAGTGAGCCAAGCCTCGCTTTCCATATGGTAACCATGACAACTGTGGCTATGAGTGGATGGTGAGGTTGAAGCTCTCTGGCTTCTGATCCCTTTGAAAAGAGACAGAGTGTGAAATGGATATGCGTGTGTTGTAACCGCTGGTTTTGGCCAAGCTGCAATGATGGAACATTTTTCTGAGTCATAGGTTGATTTTATTTTTATCTAAAATCTGAGCATTGGTGAGGAAAAATGTGTTTAAGGCATCAAACTTTAGAGGACTGCCATGGAAATAGATACTGTATGTTAAGTTTCAATCCGCATGTGAGATTAGACACACCTCTTCTGTCCTCACCAAAATAAATCGCATTTTCCCAAAGACTTTACAGGATCACTAATTGCCTCCCTTATTTCCCCCTCCACTCCCCTTCTGTCTGTCTCTTTTAGTCGAGGTGGAGCCCTGCGTGACTAACCCGTGTCTGCATGGAGGAAAATGCCTTCCTCAGGGAACGGGCTACAGCTGCTACTGCCCGCAAGGATACACTGGGGAGAACTGTGAGATTGGTGAGTGATGTGCAGACACACTCGCTCACACATCCCACACAAATGCAGTCATTATAAAATCAGCTCTGTGCCAGTCTGTACATACTGATGTTAGGCTCTCCAAAGGACTATTGGGAGGTCAAAGGTCAAACTGGTCATCACATTAGGAGAGGAAGTTGAATGGGGTTCAGAGGGTTTTTTTTTTAACTAAATAGCTGGCTAAGTAGTGCCACATAGTGAAAGTGCTTACTTAATGGATCTGTGTCTGTAACCTAAAATGCACTCTGAAGAGAAATCTCTGCCTATGCTCAGCCGTTCTCAAAAACATCGCTGCTGCACCTGAAGACATCATTACATTCACCTGAATTTTTAAACTGAATTGATTTCTTGTCCTGAACAAAAATACCTAAAGGTTTTCCAGTCAAGTAAAGGCCCCTCTTAGTTCCATCATGGCTAACAAAAATCATTTAATGGCAAAAATCCCAGATTGGAATCAGCACCCCAAAAAAATCAATTATTCCTCACACAAAGGCCTTTCTGCATCCTGATCCTCATGAAAATTGATGAACAGGGTTTTAGGATATGCTGCTGACAGACAAAGAAACTTAACACAGCAGTCTTGGCAGAGAATTAAAAATGGCTAAGAGGTGCTGATCACTGTGATTTGCAATATACCCTCAGGGGTTTGACAGATTACATAGATTAGATACACTTTGTTACAGGATACGCCAACAGGCTTCCAAGTTGCACAAAAACAACTGATGGCGAGCTGCATTAAATGTACAACAAAAAGGGCTTAGATTCAAATCTTCCTGATCAGTCCTTGTTGGCTCAAGTACAGTAGTTCCCTCTCACACTAGAGTCCCTTTTGTCTTTATCTGACAATGACAAGATCAGTATCTGGTCTCACTCATCTGGTACGACAGCGGGTTAGCACTAGACCTTGGAATAATGCTTGAACTCTCCCAAGCCAGAATAAGGAATATTTGCCACTTCTTCCCATTCCTCCAGCTTTGCATGAATGCAGCATAAGCCTGGGAAGTGGAACACCTAAAAAGAGCACAGCCTTTGTTAATGTCATTAAATCCATCCGTTCTTTTCCTGCTAATCCATCTTACAGTTCACAGCATAACTAATCAGTCAGCACAGAGCAATTTTAAAAACCTGTGTGGGTATGCATGACAATTAAACAGCAATTTTATGAGACTCTCGCTTATTTTATACAAAATAAAAATGTGGTTGACAGTCCATATTTAATTCTTACAGTTTATTCTGATTGAATCAAAGGCTCAATGAGAAATTGCCCTTGCTTTTTTTTTTTTTTTTTTAAGTTTATCTAGTTGTAATTACATTATTGCCGGCCATGCTAGAAATGAATGTGGGACTGCATTTTACTGGATTTGCAGGATTTTGCATCGCTGTTTATTTAATTCATTGGAGTAGATAAAATATCTAAACATGTTCTTCAATAAAGTTTTCAGAAATTATACAGTACTATACTACATCCACCCGAGTTAGACTTTTTAAGAAGTGCTTGTTAGATTTGGTGTAGTCCCCTACATCCTACAGCAGCCATTAGAAGTACCTCTGCAGAGGTATTGTGACACAGACGTGTAAATCTGCCTTGAGGGTCCCAATTTGTTCCTTCACAAGTGTTCGGCTCATTAATCAGCCATTCCTCAAGGAAGTGATCGCTTCATGAATAAATGAACCACATGCAGTCACATACCTGCATTTACAGTCCCATTTGGGCTGTGAACACCTTAATACTTACTGAGGGCCATGTTCTGTCTGTTGTTCAGAGTCACAAAAACACAAATGGATGGACAGACAGACAATCAGACTGCATGGCTATGCTGGAAGGCTTTGTTATGGAGTTGCAGAATTTGCAGTATTATCTCTCTGAGGAGCAGCTTCCCTTTTGCATAATAAATGAAAGGGACATCCAGTTTTTTATCATGTGCAACAAAGCGTTGGACTCATTTTAATAGGGAGCAGAGAGCCTTGCTGGTGTGTGTTGAACTAGTACATCTCAAGGTCATTCAAGGTCATTAATTGAGCAGCATTTCATATTTATAAAACAACAAGTTACAAAGAGTCTGCATCACGTTGCTGGACAGGCATTTTCTCCAGGGTTGATTAAAAGAATGAAATAAATGGTGTTTTTTAACTTTTTCATTACTTTGTAGGAAGTTCAACCTTTGCCCTTTTGAATAAACACATTAATGCACATTACGGCCACAGCTCCGAGCGGCCACATTGGCAATGCTGGTGGAGAACATGGTCCATTTGGACTCAACGTCTCCAGTCTCCCTCAGGATCTGGTCGAAGCTCTGCCGGAGGTGGGAGTTAAAGCTCTCCCGGACAGGGGGTTCTGCCAAATGTTCACAACAGACCCTCACAAAATGTTTGGGTCTGCCGAGTCTGTCCAGCTTCCTCCCCCACCATCGGATCCATCTCACCACCAGGTGGTGATCAGTTGACAGCTCTGTCCCTCTCTTCACCCAAGTGTCCAAGACATAGGGCCGGAGGGCAGATGAAACAACCACAAAGTTGATCATCGACCTCCGGCCTAGGGTGTCCTGGTGCCACGTGCACTGGTGGACACCCTTATGCTTGAACATAGTGTTTGTTATGGACAAACTGTGACCAGCACAGAAGTCCAGTAACAGAACACCCCTCAGGTTCAGATCGAGGGGGCGTTCCTCCCAGTCACGCCCCTCCACGTATCACTGTTGTTGCCCACGTGAGCGTTGAAGTCCCCCAGTAGAATGACGGAGTCCCCAGTCGGAGCACTTTCCAGCACCCCTCCCAGAGACTCCAAGAAGGCCGGGCACTGCCGTTCGGCCCATAGGCACAAACGACAGTGAGAGACCTATCCCCGGCCCAAAGGCACAGGAGTTTGTTGAGGCCATGGAAAGGGACTATCGGTCGGCCTCGAAGAAATTCTGGCAAACCATCCAGCGCCTCAGGAGGGGGAAACAGTTGTAGACCTCGACTGGGAACATCGTCGGACGGTGGAAGGAATACTTCGAGGATCTCCTCAACCCCAGCATCATGTCTTCCGATGAAGAAGCAGAGGCTGGGGTTCAGAGGTGGACTCGTCCATCACCCAAGCTGAAGTCACAGAGGTAGTTGAGGAACAATGCAGTTTTTGTCCTGTCCGCGGAACACTGGACCAGCTCTATACCCTCTTCAGGGTGGTGGAGGGTTCATGGGAGTTTGCCCAACCAGTCCACATGTGTTTCGTGGATCTGGAGAAGGCATTTGACCGTGTCCTTTGCGGCACCCTGTGGGGGGTGCTTCGGGAGTATGGGGTCTGGGACCCTTTGCTAAGGGCTGTCCAGTCCCTGCACGACCAGAGCAGGAGCTTGGTTCGCATTGCCAGCAGTAAGTCAGACTTGTTTCCAGTGCATGTTGGACTCTGGCAGGGCTGCCTTTTGTCACCGGTTCTGCTCATTATTTTTATGGACAGAATTTCTAGGTGCAGCCAGGGGCTGGAGGGAGTCCGGTTTGGGGACCACAGGATCTCGTCTCTGCTTTTTGCAGACGACGTTGTCCTGTTGGCTCCATCAAACCAGGACCTCCAGCGTGCACTGGGGTGGTTTGCAGCTGAGTGTGAAGCAGCTGGGATGAGAATCAGCACCTCCAAGTCCGAGGCCATGGTTCTTAGTTGGAAAAGGGTGGCTTGTTTCTTTCAGGTTGGTTGAGAGTTCCTGCCTCAAGTGGAGGAGTTCAAGTATCTTGGGGTCTTGTTCATGAGTGAGGGAAGGATGGAACGGGAGATTGACAGGCGGATCGGTGCAGCTTCTGCAGTAATGTGGTCGATGTACTGGTCTGTCGTGGTGAAGACTGAGCAGAGCTGTATGGCGAAGCTCTCGATTTAATGGTTGATCTACGCTCTGACTTTCACCTACTGTATGGTCATGAGCTTTGGGTCATGAACGAAAGGGCAAGATCTCGGATACAGGCAGCCCAAATGAGCTTCCTCCACAGGGTGGCCGGGTGCTCCCTTAGAGTTAGGGTGAGGAGCTCGGTCACCCGGGAGGAGCTCAGAGTAGAATCGCTGCTTCTCCACATCGAGAGGAGCCAGCTGAGGTGGCAAGTCTGGACATCTTTGCTTAGACTGCTGCCCCCGCGACCCGGTTCCGGATAAGCGGAGGAAAATGGATGGATGGATGGATGGATGGACATTAATGCATGATTTTCATATGAATTTTCTCTTTCCTGAACATTTGATGATTAGTTCACAATTTGCTTTAAAGCACTTTGAATTGCCTCTGTGTATGAAATGTGCTATTACAGTAAAACCTAATAAAACTGCCTTGCCTTGAATCAAAGCAGTATGCAGTTTAATTTCATCTCTAATAAATAACAACCTGGATTATGATTACAGAAAATGACAAATCCATGCTTTATGGTTTGTGCGCTTGCCACCATCAATTTAGTAACTATGAAATCTAACACTATATGGTGTATTCTGACACAGCATCTGTCTTGATACTGCTAAAGTAAGAAATGTACAGATGGTGGTTTTAAGTGATTTAAACCAAGTTGAAAAGAAAAGAGCAATATCTGAAAAGCTCTCATGCTATTTATGTTCCTAAATTGCTATCTGATTGTAGACAAACAACACTGTTTGATTGATCACAACTTTGACCCTGCTGGAAATCTTACAGGATGACACATTAGCACACATCTCTGCTTTCAGTCTATATTTTTCTTCAAGAAACAGCCTCATTTTCCTTTATCTATCTTAAAAGCACAGCAATTTTTATAAACAGATAAACAGTTTCTGCTGTCAGATCAAACTACCAAAATGGGATTTTAAATAATAAGCTAAAACAGTTTTATTGAATCTCACTCTCGTATCCTGCAACATACTTTAGTGACAATCCATAGTTTAGTTCAGAATGACAACAAATCCTTTGCACCAAGCCTTCAGTGAGGACAGTCTGAAATATGAAAGTCTTGTGCGAGACTAAAGGTCACTGTAGTTTGATCTGTCTACACGTTTAGCTTTTCTCAGCCACTGACCTTTTTCAGTGTTCAGCTTTTTTCTTGGTACTGAGGAGCTGTTAAGATCTGAGGAAATACTTTGATAAGTTTGAACTTGGCAGTAGATTTATTTTTTTGCTGGGGTGTCTTTGTTATTCTGGGTCCAGAAAACCCCATGGTGGTTAAAGAAGCTGACAGTATATACCCTCTATTTACAGTGATAAAGTGAATCTTTATTGATCCCTGTAGAGAAATGTTCCTTCACTTGCCACTAAGAGGTTGCAGGCTTGTACCTGGATCCTGCAGTCAGAACTCTACTGATCACCAAGTCTCTGTATGCACTTTAACTGCTTTAAACAAAAAAGCAGCGTAATGTGCAGGCTGCTGTTTCACCCTCGTGCAGTCTTTTGTACATGGAGACACTGGACAAGACACAAAAGAATAAGCTGGACATACATCAAGTCAACCTTAATCTCTAAATGCATAAAGAAGGCTGTAAAACCACCGGAGAGGCTTTTAGAGTGTCTTCTTTTAGGAGCAAATGAGGACAAATAAGGAATGTTTAGGGGATTAGGTTGTCTGTGTTCTCCTCACTAATTCTGTACTCATCAAAATGAACACATTTCACTATGTAAACTAGGACTAATGACCACCGCATGTTACGTCAGTACTTGAATGGCAGCAAATATTTCTTTCTTTATGAACAACAGCTCCTCGGCACACTTTTATTTTGAACCGTCATGAGATAAATCTGTTCTCTCTGTATTTTTTTCTTTCTCACAGACGTTGATGACTGCCAGTCTGAGCCATGCAAAAATGGAGGCACTTGCATCGACAAGATTGATTCATTCCTCTGCCTTTGCCTTCCCAGCTACGGAGGAGACACATGTGAGAAAGGTGAGAGAGAGGCTGCTGCACACACACGCCGACAAAGAAGAAATTACTTCAACCGATGTGAGGGGAATTATTATGCCTTACTGGGGTTTTTAGCACCACCGAGTTCAGTACATTGTTTCAAGTGCAGTCACAGTGGTGAAGATTCACACCTGTCTAGTAGTCACAGTAAAAGTTTTGTTGCTAACTGTGCTGGTGGAAATAATCCTGGTCAGTATGCAGCATCTTGTATAGCTATATGTCATAACACAAAATCACAAAGGTGCAAAGACAGTGTATCTGTGTCACATGACAGTAGCAAGATGCACGCCCACTGAATCACCTGCGTTCTCAGAAATATTAGCTACTGATTGCACACATCCATGCACACACGTCCACATAATTAAGTGGTGGGTGGTACAAGATTGTAGAGTGTAACAATTTCCTTTCTCATAAAACATTTAAAAATCAGCTTTTAGAAAATTTTAAATGATGCATTGCTTAGGTCCATGTTTGTTGGGTTACAGTCTTCTCTCCCTTGCTTTTGTCTCCATGCATGTTTGCACGTTACTGCCACCACCTGTCAATCAGCAGGATGGCGTGTTACTGGTGGCAGCGATGTGCTCACTTGGATGAATGTACAGTATGTCCAAAAAGACATGTTGCTTTATAGTGCTACTAGTGGACAGCTACTCTAAAATTATAACCTGCTGATAAAAAATAAATCTCCTTTTTTAACACTTTGTGTAGAAAGTAGCTGTTACAAACACCTAAAATGCTCTGTATGGGAAGAAGAACCTGGAAAGGAGGGAGATTAATAAAGAAAACAGCATATACAATAAAAGCAATAATTAAGTGAAAGCCCCACAAGTAAAATGCAGTGGTGGAAAGTAACTAATTAATTTAGTTAAGTTCTGTACTTAAGTACAATTTTGAGGTATCTGTACTTTACTATTTTATTTTGTGCTACTTCATACTGTGGCTTCACTACATTTAGTTTTAAACCTAGTTACTTTTCAGAATCAGATTAATTTAAAAAACTGTAAGACCTTATTGACCTATAGTGGAAAATTCTCTTTAAAATTCAAATTAAAAGCCTATGAACTAGTTAAAACTAGCTCCTGCTTAACAGGCTGTAACATTAAAGTGATGAACACAATGAATGCATCAATAATTATAATCCAAATAAATTAATGTTAAATATGTCATTCTGTATAAGTACCTTTACTTTTAGTACTTTATGTTTTGGTGCTAATACTTTTGTACTTTTACTTGTAACAGAGTACTTTTACAATGTGATATTGTTACTTTTACTTAACTAAGTGATCTTACTTCTTCCACCACCGGTAAAAAAACAGTTTGACATGCTTCTCCCTGTTTCCAGTCTTTATGCTCTGCTACATTAAATGAATAAGAAAGTAAATACCTCTCAGGCAAAGAGGTGGAAAGCTTTGTTATTAAATATAAACCAGGCTAAGCTAGCAATTAGGTGACTAAGCATAAAATAGTTTACTGCTCAGATGCTGAAAAGTCCATATCAGGACCTGTGTAGGTAATCAAAGAGGTGTACGACCAAAACCATCCCACAAATACAGATTAGACATACTGTAGGAGCGAGTGGAGTGTGGACAGTAAACACACAGGCAAAAATCTGTCGTCGCACTAATTATCCCATGTACTGCATACACAAACCCACCTGCATACTGTAGATGCAGATAAGCGCTGACTCACCACCCTACTGATTTTAGCCACCTCCAGCTCCAGTTCTGTCCTCCTCATGTACGTGTGTGTAGGTGTGTGTGTACCATGCACTAGTAGGAAGGAGAATTAATGAATATCTAACCTTTGCAGTTATAAATGAATCCACAGGGCTTGAAACTATTAATGAATACTAATAGTGCATAGAGAGGGCCACATGTGCTGTGAATTGAAAATGAGTGTGTATAATTGCAATTCATGTTATTTAACCTCTCAAGATGCCAAAGTCTTACATGTTTGGCTTTATTTGCTAAATGAGATAGAACACTCGTTAGAAAATCAAATGGTTCTTTTGCTTCCTCTAAACCCCTATTTTAGATTCCTTCCAGGAATAATTTTAGCTCCTCTCATTTCCCCTCCTCATTTCGCTCCATCTTTACAGACATAGAAGGTTGTGAGCATGGTTGGAGGAAGTTCCACGGCCACTGTTACAGGTAAGGATGATGAAAAACTGGCTGTACTGTGAAAATAAATGAACTCACAATGTAATTTATTTACCTTCACAGGTGCCTCATCTATCCACATTACTCCTTCATATACCCTCGAGTTACACACGACATACTTACTGCAACGCTCTGCACCATTTTAACTTGTCTTGGTTTGCAATATATAAAATATGTTTTTTATATCCACTTTTACTGCGCTGTCCCACAGGTACTTTACCCACAGGCACACCTGGGAGGATGCAGAGAAAGACTGCAGAGAGCACAGTGCCCACCTCAGTAGCGTCATCTCGGCTACTGAGCAGGAGTTTATCAACAGTATGTGTGTATATCATTGGTCAAAACTCACATGTACAGTAACACATCTGTGCACATTTCACAAAACAGTAACGGAAACAAAACAAAAAGGGCAGTCAATATAACATATGACCTGTGCAGACAAAAAACATAATATGAAATGAAATGGAGCAAATGATAAATATCACAATGGCAAGATTTTGCACGCATAAACCGAAACAGGAAACAGGGCTGAATTCTATTGATTTGTTATTTTACTATATGATTCCGGGTGGTGTGTAGAAAACAAACAAGAGGAAGGAAGCCAGAAATATAATGAAATGGCATATGGAACAGACAAGATGGAAAAGGACAGAGGCTCATGTTGTTCTGGGGTTTTTCTCCAGGTCTGGGTCATGACAACGCGTGGATCGGGCTTAATGACCGCACAGTGGAGGAGGACTTTCAGTGGACTGATGGAAATGATTTGGTTAGTGATCAGTTTCCACTTAGCAGAAAATTGCATATTCATGAATGACTCTTTTGCTCATAATAAGAAATGGACCATTAATACTTTTCATTTTAAATTAAAACTGTCCCCATATGTGCAGTATCTCATGTGTATATCTACAACTACGAGGTGGTTGAAAGTATTTAATTTGAAGAAATTCCCTCAAGTGATATCTCGCACACGAGAGTGGGACGAATGTAAGTACACGGTGACCTTTGACGACCAAAATCTAATCAGCTCATCCTTGAATCTGAGTGGATGTTTGTGCTAAATTAGAATAAATTCCTTCAAGGTGTTCCTAAGCTATCACAGCAATGGGACAGACGGGCAACCCACAAACATAACGCCTCCAGCTGTAGCTGTCACCAACGCAATGACATAAAAAAGAAGAAAATATTAGAGATTTCCAGAAATGAAAGCAAATGCAGCCAAACTGTGGTTTGTTTGGTGCTATGCAGGTGTATGAGAACTGGAGGGAGAGCCAGCCGGATAACTTCTTTGCTGGTGGCGAAGACTGTGTGGTGACCATTGCCCATGAAGATGGCAAGTGGAATGACGTGCCTTGCAACTACAACCTGCCCTACATCTGCAAGAAAGGCACAGGTACTGCGCTATTGTTGGACTGAATGCAACCAAATAGCTGACAGAGTTCACTATCAACAAGCTAAAACCATTCTTCTTTTAGTACAATTAAAAATGTGAGAGCAGTAACTTCCTGTCCTGTTTGTTTTTCTGTTGTGGTCCAGAATGTGTCTCTTTTTCTTTCCATTTTATAGCTTCGTAATCTGCTCATGAGGAGAGATTTGTCCTGTCTTCTAGTTTGGTTGCCTGTGTTGACCAGCTGGCTGCTTGTTAGTCATCAGTGCTCATCATCATTTCTTGCGCTGTTTATGCACAAAACATTTCATCCTCACAAAGCATGAGGAGCTGGTCAGTAGCTATTCCACATTAGTCACACATTTTCTCCATTAAAGGCCACAACAGGAGATGCTCCAAATATTGACGACAAACAAAAACTTTAGTGAAGGTTATGATTCTGTCTCAAACCTGTACTGATTTCTGAGAGCAATATCAGTCTCAGTCTTCCTCTTATCACCAGCGCTCTCTCCTCAGGGCTCACTTACTCTTGAGCAGGCAGCAGAACTCTAAAAGCAGTTATTGCCAATTATGGCCTGGTTCACAAATATTTGAAACTCTTCGGAGCCGCTGGTTTTCCTAATACTCACACACACCTTCCCTTTGTGGCCCAGCTCAGCCAGCCTGAATGTGAATGCAGTGAGATCTTGGAGGATGCAAAGAAAGTTAAGCATGGGGACACACGGGGACCTCAGAGCATGGCCAATAGGAGTTAGAAAAGGAAGAGGAAAGATGAAGGCATTCAGGGATAAAAGGATTAAGCAGTTTGAGAGTGTTTGTTCGTCTGGCTGTGATTCTGGTTCTGTAGTTTGACTATAGTCCATGTGTTCTGCAGAGACCCATTATTTCCTTCTGGCCTCACCAGAGCTCAATTAGAAATAGCAATGCAAATGCTGCCACACAGAGGGAAAACACACCTGAACTATTGTGCCTTGAAAATTGATTTTTTTTTTTTACACATCTTGAATAAAACCTAGAATTATGGCCTATGCACTAATGTCTGTGCTTTAGCACTAAGTGGCAGTAGAGACTATCACACTGTGTGGCCAGCCCCTCACCCTCTACAACTTTGGGCTGATGTGAAATAGACACAGCTTTTATTTGTATGAATGTTTTGTGGTCTCATTGTGTTTTTGGCAGTGTTGTGTGGGACGCCACCCACAGTGGAGAATGCTCATTTGATGGGTCACAGGAAGTCACACTATGACATCCATTCGGTGGTACGTTACCAGTGCTCTGAAGGCTTCTACCAGCGTCACATCCCCACCGCTCGCTGCCGGGCTAATGGGAGCTGGGAGAGACCCAGGCTCATCTGCACAAAGTGTGAGTATCATATGTGTAAAGGTAAAGTGAGAAGCTTTATAGTTCTTTATCCACTTTAATAATTTAATTTAGCTACATAGTATTATATATTGATTTAATCTCTTATATCGTCTATGTTTGTCTAATCGCATGTATCATCAGATCATTGTTTCTTTTTATGTATGTCCTACCCTGTCCCCAGTTCCAAACCTTCTGCCAGGTCTTCATTGTTAATAAGTTTTGGTTTCTATTTGGCTTTCCCAGTCAAATATATCATAATTTTTCACCTTAAAGCCACTTGGTGCTCATATCCAGAGAAACCTGCAATACAGTTAGAGCAGCAATAAAATAGGATCTATTTCTTTTCAGGACTGGACTTTCAACAAATTCAATTTACACAGTGGAAACTATGGGCGCCCTGGAGCCAGAACCACAAAGTCCCTTGTTCAAGTCCAGGCGGGGACCTTTGATAACTATAATTCCACATCGCTCTCCCCTAATTTCACCTTTCTATTGTCAGCTCACTCATAAATGCCCCCAAAAGTGTAAACTAGAACCTGCTGTTAAATCCTCCAGGCCACTATATTGGCTCATATTAGATCTCTGTGTGTTCCTATTGTTCTATTGCCTGAATAGCAACAAGAACCTGCAAAACAAAAATAATATTTGAGGTAACCTAGAAAACTGTATTCCAACTATTATGTTAGTTTGTCACTACATATAGTGGTCAGAGTTGTTAAAAAATAAATAAAAATATTTGTGGATTTTTATGAAAAATGTTATTAGTTATAAAACAAATGACTACCTGCCAATTTATTGTTACCGGATCCATGTCAATATCCTCAAAAATCTGTATCTCCCAGGCTATAGTGAAAACATTATTTGATTTGTTAAAATCAATTAATTATATACTGTAACATATAAAATAGATATAAGCTTGATTGTGTCTAGGAGGAGTCTGAAGAAAGAACCAGAGTAAGATATTAAAAATAAACAGAGTTTACAAAATGGAGATAATGTGATTATCAGAAGTTCAGGAGTGGGACCTGACCCAAACTACGCCTCTTCTGTTTTCATTCTATTTAAAGCTGTGGCTCAGGAGGTAGAGCGGGTCGTTTCCTAACTGGAGGATTAACGGTTCGATTCCCGGCTTGTCCAGTCGAGGTGTCCTTGAGCAAGACACTGAACCCCCAGTTGCTCCCGGTGATGTCACCGGTGTGTGAATGCGTGAGTGCTTGGGAGTGCGAATGGGTGAATGGCCGAATAATGTGTGAAAGCACTTTGAGTGTGCTGTAAAAGCATAGAAAGGCGCTATACAAGTATAAGATCATTTACCATAAAGCCACTGAAACCACCATACTTACACTTTTGTTTAACCCCCCCATCCTTTCCCTCTATTCTTCTATCCCTGCTGGGGGTCCGCCAGTGACTGAGAGCGGCGCGGACCTCTTTAGCCTTCCTCAAAACTGTCAAGTTCACAAGCATTCTCCATCCTTGTGCTTTCATTCATACTTAGTAAACTGCTAGAGAAATGAGAATTGTGTTGTGAGCTGCACGATGTAATTATATGCAACATATAAGGATCTTGTTCACTTCTGCTTGTAGCCCGGCGATCACACCGCTACAGGCGCCACCACCACAACCAGCACCATGAACGGCGCAGCCACAGGAGACACAGAGAGGGACACAAGGCCAGAGAGGACACACACAGCTACTACTGAACCAAATAATACATCTGCAATGTCTAGGTGCTAACCACGGCCCATAAAGAAAGACAGCAGTTCACATCGCTCCCGTTTCCTTTCAGCCGTGCGCTCTGACGACTGAGGGCTTCTTACTCTAACATACGTTTTTTTGCGCTAACCCCATCACTGAGTTTGGGTGTTCTGAAGCTTCTTTGTTTTCACCCTGCTTTCTTTAACCGAGGTCCACACGAACACTAACTACAAGACTAACTCTTATTAGCACCCACCCTCCCTAACATAAATCCTCCACCTGTCCAACAGCGTGTGAACATGTGCGAGCGTACGCATGTAAGAGAGAAATGTAGAGAAGTGCTGAGTCACCTTTTTTTTTGTAAAAGTTTGCTTATTCTACATGAAAAACGACTTTTGTCCTTGTGTTCCGTTTACAAAGCACAGATGTAATTGATGCAAGATAGCAGTTAGTCCCTGGTAACCCTCAGCTTTTGTATGTGTACTGTAGCTGTTACTTTCTCCTCTGAGCAGCAGTTTTGTTTTATTCTACTGACATGCTTTTTTCTAATGTTCGCTATGTTTTCGTGTAACACTACTATTTATTATGAAACATTTACTAGTGAACGTGTTGTTTTTTTTTACTTCAGTGAGCCGATGTAACATCATTTTTCTATACCGTTACATAAGTCCAACAATCGATCAGTAACAAAATTAACCATTTGATTGCCTCTAATCTTTGTGTTGTAAATATTGTGGTGTTTGTGATGGGCTGATCCTTGATCAATAGCTGGACCTTGTCCAATCAAATAGACTCCCCCCATGCACATGAGCACTCACAGCTAATGAATACATCCTACTGACACAAGATAGTTGGATGGGATTATACTCTGTTGAGATAACCATTTGATTGTATCTGATTTGCTAAATACTTTCAATCTTTGCACGGCTATATTTACACAATGGGTAGAATGTCACTATTCTTTGTCTTTGGTCCCTTTGATATTTGGTCAATCATCCACTTTTTTCGTGTTCTTATGACTTTTTGTCCTGCTGTTGTATTTCATTCTTAATAAAGTTTAAAAATGAACCGCATTTTAGATTATTCTTTATACTCTTATCTGCTGCTGTCTTGTAAATGTCTCAAAAACTACTGGATGGATTGTCATGGGGTTTTGTGCAGCCCTGTACATGCACAACATATGATGAGGATTTTTTTAATCGCTATTGGAAAATGTGACTTGTCCATCCAAGACAAATACAGTTTGGGGCACGCGTGGCTGATGGATGAGTCATCGTTTGTGCTGCTGCTGTTTGTGTATGTGACAGCTCCCTTAAATCCAGGGTTCACCTCTTATCGGTGTGACAACAGCAGTGGTTCACAGCACACAGGACACAGTGACATCACCAGGTGGTGACAGTGTAGACAGCTGATGAGACCGAAAAAGTGCTCGGTTTGTGAACAAAAGCAGATTTCAACATTGGATTTATGATTAACAATTCTAAAGCACAGGCAGACTGCTTCATTTGCTTTTATTGCACACAATAAAGTAGCATTTAAATAAAATAAACATGTTGACATAACTATAACTAAAATTATTAGATGAATAATTGGCTAGTCAGTGGACAGAACTATTTGTAAGTCAGTTATCAGTCAAAAACACCAAATAATCTTTGGGTTCAGCTTTTCCAGTGTGATTTGATGCAGTTTTAGATCAGTAAAAATAAGCCTGAAGCAGCAGAGCTGTGGAGTTCTCCATGAAAAGATGTATAATAATGACTGACACGCTCCAGCAGTGTGTCACTGACCTATGTACACAGGTTAATAGTCTTAGTGTGGGAAGATACCAACTCGGTATCTGCATGAGTGACCTGAAAGTTGCATAGGTGGATCACAGTCCTCACCTCTATCAACAGCTTTCTTATCAGGGACCAATAGTCCATGCAGGGAGTGCTGGGCGACGTGGTTGATTTCAAACAGTTCACTCAGAGAGCAACTTTTTTTTTTTTTTTTTTTTTAGATTTCCTCTGGATTTTAAGCTTGAAAATTGTGTTTATTGCAGTTTGTACACAAACTACAGTACCCAGAGAATATTAGCCTTGAAGTATTCCTCGACAGACCACGGCTGGTGTGTGGTCTAGTTTTTCTTTTTCTCATTGTTGGTCTGTCCCTTGGGAACAGGATTCATAAAATAAACAGGGCTGACATGGCAGCGTAGGGCCAGCAGAGCCGGCACTGCAGCAAACAGCACGTTGAGGGTGATAACGGGCCACCATTTGTCTGCTGGGACTCGATACGTGTAAGGAGTGCGGGAGTGCAGAGATGCTCCGATGTGACACCACTGTGTCTGAACAGCAGGAGAAAGCAGGAGGAAGTAAACATTAGACTTTATGTCACACTTTGTTTTTGCCAGGAATATGAGAAACAGCAAAGATAACCACCTGAGCCATGGCTCCAGCAAAGAAAATGGTCCAGTCCAACATCCAGCTGCATCCAGGTGTTTTCAGACCATAGATGAAGACAGTCAGCAGGGGAAGGGCATAGAAAAAATACAGTAGCATCTGCAGTAATGTCACACAAAGGATGGCACTTGTTAATAATAAGTTTGAATAAGAACATACAGTGTAGTTGATTTAAATGAATTGTGGATTAACTGCAAACTGACCATGACCCTTGGGAAGCCGACAGGGTCTTTAAGATACGGTTCATACTGATATATGTAGGTGAAACAGACGTCCAGAGGACAGTCCAGCACCACCTGGAGCAGAGCAGGAGCAGAGACACAGTGAACACATTACCTCATAGCTCTATGAATGCAACCAGAGGCAGAGATATTGGAAAAGATCCAAAAGCGTCCATGTTGCTGTACTCACAAAGCCTCTGAAGGCAGAGAAGGCCATTGCTCCCAGTAACAGAGCTGACAGGAGCAGGTCGACCGGCCGGGACAGCAGACCTTTGTTCTGCTCCGCTGCAATCTGGTGAACACAGAAACATCCTCAGCTGATGTAGGTGCCAATATATCCAGCAGCTGGACTTTTATTGTTCCTGTAGACAAACTAATATTGGTATGAGCCTCAAAAATCATCATTAGCAATATTTGTTGATTCTCTATGGCAGTGGTTTCCAACCTGGGGGGACGGGACCTACACAAGGGGTTGTAGCAGGAGGTAAAGGAGGATAAGAATTATGCTTCACAAATTTCTTTTTATCTTTGGTGATTTTCTCTAATCTTTGCTTTCTTCCTGTTGTATAACAAAATATGGTAATAATTACTTGCTCCTGGCCCCTGAAATTATCTAAACCATTTCTAGAGGAAAAAAACTCTATTTGATTGAGTTGCTCACAAGTCAAACATCCATTCTGTGGACTATGTGATAAGCTTTGCATTAAAGATTTTGTAAGCAAAAACAGTTGGGAGTCACTGTTTTCTCTTAGACTATATAATGTACATGTCTGGATTGGCTAAACTCTACCTTGTCTGCTGTGAAGATTGGCATCTGTCTGGGTCTGCTAAAGAGCAAGGAGGCTGCCCAGATAGGCACCAGAAAGAAGGGGATGTTCCTCCAAAAGGCTAGTTGAATGTTTGACCCATATTTACCTACATAAACAAGAACACCATCAACACAAAACAGCCTTTAACAACATTAATGACATGATGGCATCCAACATTTATGCAGGCAGCTCTGACCAATGACCACTCCTGGGATGAGAACAATTTGATGTGTGATGGAGGAGCCCGCCCACAGCAGGGCCAGACTACGATAGGACTTCCTGCAGGAACAGAAAAGCAGCAGGCGTCATCAGAGATCTCACTGAACACAGTAGACAGAGCGTTTGGGAGGTGATGCCACAGTTTACCCTTTGAACATGCGGTGGATGATAACGAGGAAGAGGGCGAAGTGAACGACACCTTCCCAGTAAGACATCATCACAGCATAGGCGGTGCTCAGATGAGGCTCCCCCTGCGGAGACATCACAGAAGGAGTTTTACCTTGTACAATAAAACAATCACTGGGATGAAATTTTAAATTAATTAGATGAGGAAAAGGTATAGAGAGGAAAGGTTAGGTCAGCGTAGGTCACGTTACCGTCTTTATATAGAAGCTCATGAAGCCTGAGATGAAGCCATCCTGCTCTAAAGCATTAGTCAGGCCCAGCATGCAGAGGAAGGAAAACTCTGCAAACACTGAAGAGACACAAACACAGAAATGAAAAAAACTGTTTGGCTGCTTTCACTGATGGATGTTGAAGTGTGTGTTTATCTGGTGGTACCATAGAATAAAGGGTCCACTTTGGTCTTGTGTTGCACAGTGAGGAGGAGGAGGAGGAGAACAGATGCCAGGACAACCATGGCCATCCCCAGGATGGGTAGAGGTCTGGGCAACAGTGGTGAGATGGTAACAGTGAGAGTTTATACATCAGTCTGTCTGTGCAGTTCAGTGACATGTATTTCAACTTGAGAAGGAACAGTTAATCAATAGACAGAGCGCTATGGTTGGTAAGTGATCAATCATTTAATCAGTTTTTTTGCCTTTTGAGATAATAGGCTGAATATCTTTTGATTTTGGACTGTTTGTCAGACAATACAAGTAATCTGAAGAACTCATCTTATCCTAAATTATTATCCTAAATTGTGATTATGGCATTTTCTCTACTTTCCAACACTGCAATTCAATTAAACATGAAATAATCAACAGACTATTCATTAATTACAATCATTCTTAATTGCAGCCATAATCTTCTATAATCGTCTTCACATTGGTACTTTCTTTATAGAATACATAACTTTTTCTATCCTTGTGTAAATCTGTGTGGGTTTTAAGAATTTATACAGTAACTGTAAATGAGGTTACGTCAGGATAATCACGCTGTCATTAAACTGCCTTTTCCCTCAGGCTGTGGGCCGCTTCGTAAGCCTATTAATATCAGCTGCTTTGCTGTGCAATGCCTCAATACAGCAGGTCACGATGAGAGTGCACATACACTTACTCCTGTAGCGCAGGGATGTTGTTTATGGTGTACAAAACTCCAGGACCCAAGAGAGAAAGGAGAAACACAGAGACTTCCACTGGCGGCCTCATTGCAGAAAACATCATGTTTAGCCGTTTCTTAAAAGATAAATAAAATAAAAAACAGAAAAGAAAAGAGCCGCTCTGATGTTCTGAAATATCCCCAGCTAAACACACTTACTGGCTATGAAAAGAGATATATTAGTAGCCAACATTGTCTCCGCTGCCGCAGGGGAAAGATAATTAAAGGAGTGTCTCAGTTCGCCTTTTGATCTGTGATGAAACCTCACGGCTGCTCCACTACCTCTGGTGTCTAGTAGGTCTCAAAGTTCAACTCAGTTGTCACGTCAGATCAGAGGAGGTTTAAAGTCAGAGAGATGGACATTTCAGATAATGGGCTGCTGAATTGTGCGTCATGCGTAAAATATGCATTTATCTTTGACTGTTGGTTTTGATATTTTTGGCGGCTATTGATTACCATCGAATTATATGACAGGCTATTTCAACTACAATCCATGCCCATTTATCTGCTCAGTGTTTCAGTGTGTGCTTGGAGACACTGCCACCTGGTGGAGCCAGTTTTTCTTTCCTTGATATCTTCTTTTGCTTTCTAATAGCGTGTCACTTTGTGGTACATTAGATGACTATAATGTTTAAAAAAGTCCTGCTGCACATGTATTGTCTATACCTTCTGGCTCCTGGTGTTTGTCTAAGAGAACATCTGTCCTGTTTGGTGTGAGATTAGGAACCCTGTCTGATGTCTGTATTCTTGATTAGATTCTGGATTATATCTGAGAGAGAATGTAAAGTTAAAAACAAACCTTATATTTCAAACTGATCATCACTGTTACAGCTATTTTAGTACTTTTTGCATACTGCAAAAACAGAATATGTGCAATACGCAACATCTCATGGGCGAGCAATGTTTGTAAAGCAGGTCTAAATCTAATTAATTGTATCTTCTGTAACAAAGAGGATTATGCTGCTGCCTCAGAAACTTAGTGATCGGTAGAAAGAGAGAGTGGGGGTGAGTGAACGGAGCAGGAACAGACTGAGAGGTGATTCATTTAGACGCCGCTTGCCATAGACGCAAAGAGAACTCTGCACCCACACGGCATACGGTAGTGCTTTTGAGGTGACAGATTTTTAAGAGTCCATTCAGTCTGCCAACATGCTGCACCCTTTAATCATTGGCATCATTACGGTGAATACTACTCTAACCATCCTCTACTGGACCTTCCTCCTGAGTGAAGTCTACTTCAAGTGGCTGATGGAACCAGAAGATAAACCCAAGAAAGTGGTCACCCCAGCCTGAGGAAGTCATAGATGATATGGACCTACCTGACTGAATGACTGGGTGTTGTGTTGCTTAACAGATTAGTCCAGCTTGTAGTGCTTTCTGTGGAGTCAGAGTATGCATTTGTTTCTTTTAAACTCTGTTTTACCTGCAAAAGATTTGGAACCCCAATGTTAGCAGAATAAATTCTGCTAGTGAATGAGAAAGGAATATTTTTTACAGGTAACATCTGAAATTTCACACCACCTTTGTACAAGGAAGCATACACTTGCATAATGTACTATCAGTGAATTGTCTTGTAGTAGTATTTATGCTTTACAGTGTGAATCAGCTGCTCAAACTGCACCGTACTTTAAGGCAACAGGTGCCTCAGGTGACGCTAAACAAACTCATACCCTGTGTTGCTGTCTGCTGACTCTGTGAAAAGCTGGTGACAGTGGCACATGCCAGTCCAATCCTGTTAAGGATTACCACAGAACCTCTTAACACAGACAGCCCTGAGACACACCTTCATCCTGAGACACACTCAGAGACCTCACACTGCTTTTCTATCTCTTTTTTAATCTGGATTTTCTTTTAAACTCTTTTTTTAACATCTTCATTCTTTTTGGCTGTTGAACAATATGACACATGTCTTCTACTATGGGTTGCACCCAGTCTCTTGGTTTATCCTCTTTGCAAATGTAACTATTATCCTCATAGAATGGACGTTTCTTATTTCTCAGTGGATCCGCCTTTCCAAGCAGTCAAATGAAAATGAGTCTAAGCCCTAGAGGAAGCAATCCACAGCTGATGCTGTTCCAAGAAGATCTGAGAGAGAGAGAGAGACAGAGCAAAGCATTTTAGTGCCACTGTTTAACTGCCTGCTTGTAGAGAGAAACAATAATGGTGGGTATTTTAGTTTGCAGTACAGTAAAGCTTTTATTTGCATCACCTTAACCTTCTGCCCTGTGTTTGTGGTTATTTCCAGAGCCTTTTGTGTATGACACACACTAGCGTGAAAGAGCTGAGGAGCTGTTTCAAGTCGTGATTACAAGGTAAGGGGATTCATTTTTGCCCAGAAACATCTTTGATGCATCGTCTGTTCCATTTCATCTAACATTTTCTTATCGTTCATATTGGAAAGGGAGTTGATAAGTTGCTTTTTGTTGATTTCACACAAGTCTTTATATGTTACATTCGATGACATGTGGTTTACCCTTGGGGATAGGTATTGGTCACAAAACTGATTGCATTTAGAAATATCACCATCTGCTCTGCCGTGAAGCAAGAAATGAGCCATGAAAATGTAGTGTCATTCCAGTGAATTATGTGACATTTATAGAAAACAAGAAGCAGATCTGCTGTGCTTAAGATGTATCATATACTGTATATTTATATGCAACCTGGTCAGAGAGGAGCATAAGCCTCTTTGGCATATTACTGTCCACCTCTCCTCAGTCATATTGGTAATCCCTACAGATGGAAAGCTGATATTTCTCTGTGGCAGACTCAATCCTATTACTGTAATTCTGTGTACTATATTCACTTCTCCTTCTCACACTCTGCGCTCCCTAAAAATTTGACCAAGGACTCCTCGCCAAAGACTAGAAGGAGCAGTACTATGATTTAAATCTAGATGAACGATTAGGAGAATTGGGACACTTACATTTTCTTTGTCTGGTGAACTTCATTTTTAGTTCTATACTGTGACCAGGAACTATCACTCCTGAAAGACAATGTTCTCATCTGTGAACCACCTTGACATTTCCATCTGTCATTCAATCCTGTCATTCTTTCCAGCTTCAGAAAATGTTACAAATCTAATACACAGTTCCTCTCCCTCCTCCTCATTCGTGTTCAAAGTTTTCACAGTGCCACGACGGAGGTCGGATCTGTGACGAGACAATAAATCTGTCACCACTCAAAGAAACAGTCCCAAGGTTTCACCGCATTTGTTGAACAGACTATCCTATAAAGAGATTATCTACTTGTCAAAATCAACTAAGCAGCCAAAGCATGAATCAACGACCACTTGTGTCTCAGAACGCCTCAGGAGGAGCACTGCTTTTCACTCTCACACAACCTGTGTCTGAGCAGTGACAGCTCCTCCAGCTTTCCAGAAAGGAGGCCTATTTTGTCGACTACAACGCGCTAGCGAGAGATGCTATAACCCTGCCATGCAGTGTAGTCTATGTCCTAGTCGGGGTGGTGCTAGTTATAGTGACCACTTATGCCATAGTGGGACACCTGATTAAAGATCTGATGCATGACCTGGCAGGTAACCCCAGACAGAAAAATCCCAAAGTGGTGTCCTCTTATTTTTGTCACAGTTTTAACTCTGGTGTGAAGTCTCCAGTCTTGTTTACACCTGAGCTCTTGCATGAAGGCTGCGTGAGAATTTCGTCCTTTCCTTTTTTTCCTTTTGAGCGGCCATATTGCTTTATGATTCTCCATCATATTTATTCTGAGTTCCTTGTTATACCGTAAAGGCGAATGCCAAAACCTGACATACATCTTGCTACAGCAACAACTGATCTGTATTTTATGTCACTATTTTGTTTCCTCTGCTCACAGACTGGATTTTTGGCCCCACATTAATGGAGGATGATTCAGAGGAAGGTAGAGCAGAAACAGAAGAAGAGCAGCAGCTGAGCGTTTCCAGTAAGTTGATAGAGCTGTGGATGGAGAAGGAAAAGGACAGGCTGCTGCCAGGTTTCCACCAGGGAGCTGTAGGATGCTGCCGTCTATCGACCCTGCCTCCACTGAGAAGCACCATCGCTTCATCATACATCAGAGAAAAATGAACATCTACACATAGTGTGACCTTCTTCTGCCCCGTGGCCCCTTATATCACATCATGTCACTGTTGACTCTTTGCTACAAACAGGCTTAATCTAAGGCATGTTTGTTTTATTAAAGTAAAAAAATATGTTTCCCAGTCATAGTTTCTACTCAAATGCTTATATCATTACTTATTAAAAATTGTATTAAATCATGATCTATGTTGTCAGGTATTTATTGTAAAATACATTGCACTACATTATCATATGCTGCCTGATATCTATCTATACTTATATGTATATTGGAAGATGCTAATGCAAGTAAAAGACATATTACATTACTAAGACAGCACTATTACATGTAAATTGCATATGAATTGCCATTTCTGTGAATTTCCCCTGTCATACGCATAATTTTCCCATGGTGTGTTTCTGAGAACAGCTTTCCCCTTCTGAACTAAGCTTCTCTCCAGTAAACAACTGAATAATACAAGAGCATTGCTGTGTCTTGTACAAAACATTAATCCATCTCACCTTCCTTTAATACCTGTTTACGTCAGGGACAGTGACCTTATTTGCAAATGCCAAGGATTACTGTGCATCAGCATATGAAATGCTGTTTGATAATGATATAAGTATGAAGACAACATAGATAGATAGATAGATAGATAGATAGCACTGAAAAAAAGGACTCACCGGGTCTTTGGATTTACACAAATTATGCTAGTATATGCAACGCAATTCATTCATATTTCCTCTGTTAACATAATTCAAACAAGTTAACCCCTAAAGAAAATTATCTTGGTTTTACACATTATCATTGTGTGGGATCGATGTACACATTACAATCAAGTAAATCCAACAAATCCTTTTTTTCAGTGTAGATAGATAGATAGATAGATAGATAGATAGATAGATAGATAGATAGATAGATAGATAGATAGATAGATAGATAGATAGATAGATAGATAGATAGATAGATAGATGTTGGTCTATGTATATGCAGCAGATGAACTCTCTGGGACACTGTGTTGTAGTCATTCCCCTGACCTTGAGTATCTCAAGCTGCTGCAGCTAATCTGGTTTCCATCTGCGTAGCTCCACAGACAGACTGACAGGGAGTTTGCACGGGGAAACAAAATGAAAAATTCATCAGCATGAGAGACATACATCTAACTTAAATCTAGCTTACACGCTATAGTGTTTAGCCAGAGGAGTGTAAGGACACCTGGTGCACTGAGGGATCCTCAACTACTTTGTTGTTGTAGTTTTTATGGTTTAGTTGCTAACCTTCAAGGAGCTTTCTGGAAAATGTAATGGGGTTATTTATGTATTTATTAAGATTTTAAATTTGGACAATATTTCTTCCTGATGTTTTGGTGATTTGCATAAGAAGATCTGTAAGAAGAAACTTGTTGTCTGGCTTCTACTGATTTCCAGGTAACATTAGGATATTAAGCAGATTTCCTGGCTGGCTTTGAAGTTTTGAAGACTGTCACATGGTAATGGATGTACCAGTGCAGAGTCTAAATGTTCATTACAAGGAGGAAGATGGAACAGTGTTCTTTGAGTCTTATGTACCCCCCTCTCGGGATGCTGTCCACCTGCCGACCTATGTCCTCTATCTGCTCATAGCCGCCTTCATTGTACTGTCAGTTCTTTATGCCATCATTGGTCACCTCATCAAAGACCTCATCCATGACTGTGCAGGTTTGTCACTGTACTTGTAGCTTCATAAAACTAGAAGATACTGTTCCTGACTTATTGTCCCTCCCTGTGCTTTTCCCTCACATATTATCTACATTTCTTTCCTACACATCTTCCCTCTCTTTCTGCTATTCAGACTGGCTGTTTGGGGAGCAGCCTGAAGAAGTGGTGGTGAACTACTGTGAATCCAAGGACAAGTTCATGGTAGACTGGTGCCCGGAAACCTCACCCAAACTACAGGCGATGGCCTGGGCAGAGGATCCAGATGGAAGGGGCTTTGATAAAGTCCCTTCCATCTGGATCCTCTCAACAGAACCAGAGGGGACCAAAACGGGACCCCGTGTGGTCTTTTGGAAGAAGACGTAGTGAAAAAAATGAATTGAGGAAGATGAAATCAGATTGTTGTCAATGCAGGGCTTCTGCATCTGGTGTGGATGTTTAAATACTGAGATGGCTGAGAGGCTGTAACAACGAGTTCTTCTTTAGGGCTGAAAACATGTTATCATAGCATAGGAGTAGGGGCTAGCTTGTTGGGCTAAATGCTTGAGTGGTCTCATGAGGACATCTAGAGTCTGTCACTGCAACTGATTTGCTAAAACAAATTCATCTTGTTGCACACAAAAATACCAGCACAAGGTTTATACTTGTCTTGGAGTAGCTTAATTTTAATAAACAAGTGGGAAAAATGTTCTTAGTTTATTTTTTAATTCTTCACTTTAATTTCATATGTTAAAAATGTTCTGTGCACTCCCCAGTCATGTCCTCATACTTTAAACAAATGCCAGGGTGCTTCAGACAGATTCAGGGAATCATAGTGGAACTTTGTGGCTTCAAAATTAAAATAAATGCATTCAAACTTACTGTAATGCTTTTTAAAATTATATTGTTATGTAATAAACAGGTACAGCATTTCTCAAAAATGTACAAATACAATATGTGTAAAGGGGAAAGCATAACATACCAGAAAATACACCAAATTGATGGCACACAAAAATGTGTACATCCCTTACCTTGTGATATAATAGTGTAAAAATGAAAGACAAGGTACATTTAGATTTACACCTACTTTCCACTAACTAAGGGTAACATAACTAAGATAATCCTAAAATCAAGCTGTCTATAAAATGTGTATTTGAGGATTTACTGAATTCTCAGCCCACATAGCCCTTATTTGTGTGAGCACAAACCCTTTTGACCATGAATGGCCATGGTAATATTTGCTGGGTTTCTTGGACTTTTGTGATAAACTACACAATGACAAACTTCTTTCAGTTTTGGACTGCTGATCGTCACAAAAGAGGAAATTTTGGATCACAGTTAATCTATTAATTAAGAAGATAACTGGCATATTAACTAATAAACGCTTTTAGTTGCTGCCCTATAGTAGATGGCAAGCCTAGACTCAAACATTTAAACAGAGTAGAAACATGACTATGTGCTTTCGCTCTACCGCCCTCTAGTGCGCACAGCTAAAAAATCTTGAGAAACTATACTCAGTCAAACACTTATAATAATATTTCATAGATAATAGTAATAGTAATATTTATAGAGCTGATTTTATTTAGAATAAACCTACAATTTTGGCACCCCAAATCTATTTTCAAAATTTGTTGAAGCCTCTACACACCAATAGTACCATTAGTAGTCCTATTTTGATTTGATTTGATTTATTCTTTCAAGCATGTAAAGACAGTTGATATGTCAACACACATAATTTTACACATATCCAACAAATGCTAATCCAATATCAATTTGCTTATACCTAGTACATGCTTGAATGGAGTAGGAAGAAGTCAGACTTATCCAGTCCTACCCCATGACATCATCTTACCATCATTGGTTTGCAAGCAATAAATGATTCACTTCTACACACACACATATTATACTAAAAAAGAATATAACAGTGTTAACATTCTACATCACACAAGTGATATACTAAAGAATTATTACAAAGTGTACACCACAC